AGAATTAATTTTAGCATCAAAGCAATTGAGTAAATTAGTTCAAAATAAAAGATGGGGGAAAGTCAATAAAAATTAAAATAGAATAGCGGCTGAATGTGGGCTTTTTCCCAGGGAGTCTGCAAACCAGTTCTCTAGTTGTATAAGATTCTGCCTCATCATTAGACTGTCCTCTGTTATCCTTGACGTGTGTAATTTTTTAACCTGTTTTATTACTGCTTTTGATAGTTGATTTCTTATAGTACATATGCTACTTGAGTTTTTTCTTTTAACACAAAAGCAAAGTGCTCCCTCTGTTTTTGAGTGTAGGCGGTTAATGTGTGAGGTATTTCCTATAGGACTGATAGGTTTATATATGAAATTTTAGAAAGGATGTATACAAAGAAAGGTGAAGGCTAAGATGCAGGCAAAGAAGAGATGGAAAAACAGAGTTTTGTTCATGTTTAAAAGGAAATTTTGGTCAATAATGATTGTTTTTTCAGGGCTGTTGCCTTTGACACCAACACATGAGCAATGCCCCTGCGTCCATTTAAAATGCAGATGATTTTCCCCAAGGCCTGTGACTTGAAATGACAGACAAAAGGAGAGTTTTGGATGACAGCCTTCCAGTTTCCAAGCTAAGCCTGCCTGGAATCCATTTGATCATTATGCACTGTAGCTTAAAAAATGTGCCTGAGAAGAAAAAAAAAACATGCATTGCAAGGGAGTTTCTCAGCCCTGTATAACTGGTGTAAAATGTGGAGTTGCTTTGGATTTGTTCCCTTGAGAGAACTTCTTCCTGGCTTGCAGAGGTATTTCTTACTATATTTATTCATTTTAAGTTTCATTGCATTTTGCTCTGGGACTTTTTAGAATTTTATGTGAATGAGAAGAAATCTGACACTCTTCCCCCTCCTGATTAAAGCAAATGAACATGCAGACCCATATTTCTCTCTAGTTCTAAAAGAAGTAAGGCAAGTAGGAAGTTAGGATGTGTGGATCATTACAAGGTACTTTCTCATTAGGTCAGGTAAATGTGGAGAAAGGAAGGGGAGGAGAAAAAATAGTGTCTTGCACAAGGATAGCCTCTGGCAGTACCAGGAATTGAATCAACCCTTAAGAAAGCCACAGAGTACAAAATGGAGCTTTTGATCAGCAGAGAATTGGAACTGATCTGCTGAGCTGGCTTTCCCTCTGTACTACCAGGAAGAGAACAGCAGAGCTCTTCCTGGCAGTATATTACTTCTGCAGCACTTTCTCTTCTGTAATCCAGCAAGTTTTCCTTCAGTGTCTTCCTCATTTGTGACTGTCCCCAAAGCAGTGTACTCCCTTCTACCAAATGTACAGAAAAAAACATGATCCAGCAAGAGGTGCTTTTGTTTGCTCTCAGGGTTGCTGTATTACTTCCCTTGGGAATAATATAAGGTGTGTGAAAGCAGCACAAGAGTGCATCACCACTTGATGGCACCAAACAAAATTGAAAGAATCTTTGAAGTAAAGAGGGAAGGAACTCAGCTTTTCTGCAGTGTGTGAGGGCACCAATATAAGTAAGTCATGCTTGCTGTAGTACTACAGCACTCCATGAAGCGCTCTCAGCATCTGTTAAACTTTTTCATTTTTCAGTTTGTTTCACACGGCATGAGTACCTCAGCACTGTTGTAAATGATAAGCAATAGGACTTTATGCAGGAACTTAGTAAACAGACAGTGTATTCTTAGCCCAAGGTGCTGGCCAATTTGTGAGCAAGAGAGTGTAATTGCTTGGCTAAAAATGTTCTGGTTGCCTTGTACTGAGGCAGTATGCTCCCTGTATCTCTTCCATGTTATAATCATTTGCAAGAGTACAAAGCAACTGTTGGTGAAAATTGAGCTTCTGGACTGCATGATTTGAATAACTTTTCAAAATAAGGAGAATTCTAGAACCACTGCATTATTTGCTGTTAGATTCACAATGACCTTGATATTTCAGGATCTTCTTGTATTACAGATATTCCTCTTCGTGTTTTCTGTGGGGGCAGATGTTCTCAGCTCAATGACTGAAAGGATGACTGTATTGATTCTTCAGCCATTAACATTGAAGTGTACCAACAGAGAGGTTCCCTAATACTGTTACAGTTGCTTCTCCTTGTCTTTTCTGAACACATTTTAAGAATCCTGTTCTTCTTGGGGTTTTATTAGTTCTCTGAAAAATGAGTTTCAGCATCAGGCATCTGCAAGATAACCTTCTGGTTTTTCCATTAAATACACAGCAATTGCTAGAGGCATCCTTTATTTAATTCATTCTGAATCCTCTGCTTTCTGTAGTTTTAGCTTCCTTTTTCTTTTCATCTGTCCCTGAACATATTGCCTTGCATAATTATATCCTGTTTTGTGGACAAAGAGAAGGAAGAAGATGTTAATGTTTGTCAAAATGATGAGCAACCTCTTCTTTTCCCTGATTCCAACTGTAAAACCAGATAACTGTTGGTTTATCTTCTCAGCTAGCAGAATAGAGACAGAGCTTATCTCAGCCTGAAATGGATCAGAAACAATCAAAGATTGCAGCATACTTGTTTTGTTTCCCTTTCACTTCCAATTCTCCTACATCATGGATTAATGGAAGTGTCTAGTGTTGAGGATCTTGTACGTGCCTATATGTTGCATTCTTGCACCAGTCCGGTCTCTTCATTCCCATGCAACTGCTTTGTAATTGATTGTTAGAATTAAGTAGAAAACTGCTTAACTGAGAAGCTATTTGCTTTTCATTTGCATAGCACCTAGTACAGTGGAGACCTGGTCTGAGCAAAAAATCCTGATAGTAACATACATACAGTAATAATACATGAGATATCCTATGAGTCACCATACACATGCGCACTCAAATCATTCCCAGCCCTACCAAGCTCATGCAGATTTTTTAAGAGTTTTTATAACATGCCTCTGAATTTTGTGCATGTTGATTCCAGCGATGAGTGTTGACTGAGGATCAGTTTCATTCTGTTTCTAGACTGCATTGCATCCCTGTTAGGCCTTTTTCTGTCCAAGTGCAATTTGACTTTAAACCTAGAAGCTTTTCATCACTACAGTAAGCTGTTGCAAGCCCAAGGTGCAGGAGGTATTGGGATACTCTCTCTCACTGTGGTGTACTCAAGAGAATAAGTAGAGCTCTGCAAAGAGTTGAATATTGAAACCCATTAAAAACCTTTGGCTCTGTTTTTTTGTTGGTGTTTCGGTTGTTTTTTTTTTTTTTTACTGCTTGCTTTCCTTCTGCAAAGATTTTATCAAAAGAAAGTCCTAGGTATTTGAAAGCATCAGTGTCATGTTTTTTGAAAGATGAGTCTTTATTTTCCTCTTGTGAAACTATATTAGCCATTAATTAAAACTTTAAAAGATGCTAGCAGCTTTATTGCTGGGTGCTGGTGTTCCAGTTTGACCCTTCTTAAATCGCTGGTGAAACAGTCTGTAGCAATTCGATAATTTTTTAATCAAAATATGATTAAATCCAAATTCCTGTAATTGATGCTTCCTGTAAGGATTATTGATACAGGACTTTATTGAAAGCAAATGTATGTTTGAACTCCAGAGGGAAGAAAATGGAAAGCAATTACAGCAACAAAGTGGATGTTGTAATGTAATATTCAAAGCATGCTTTTCTTTGTCTATTAAATTCTAATTTAATGGGGAGATTTCATGTGCCACTTAAAACTCCATATATTTAGACTCTGCAGTGATTTAGCTCTGCTTTTGGCACAGATGTCTCCTTCATTCTGAAGGCTCTCTAGGCTGCAGTACTTTTCCAGGCTTGGTCATCTGTGTAGCCCTCAGCAATAGGCAAGAGATTTACTGAGGGGGACAGGGAGTTGGTGGCCACGTTAATCTGATAAACGTTCTGGAAAGCATGCTCGCTCAGATGGAAGAGTCAGCCCTGCCTCTAAGTGGTGCTGGAGCTTGGCTTGGGGCTGCAGGCATCTGCACATGAGCTCAGCTCAGTCATTGGCATTTTCTAGGGAATTGGCAGTCATTTCTGTGCTTATTTTTCATGCATACAAATTGAACTGAGAAACACTGCATGCATCTCTTCACGCTGGGGTGTGAAATTCAGCCCAGGACCAAGGCAGCAGTTTCTAACATTGGACTTAGGTGTTTGAGTGTTGGCCAAAGTTAAAGCTCCATGTGCTTTTTGTCACCACTTCTCCAAATGCAGAGCAAACTGCATGTGTGTGAAATAAGGATGAAATAAAAGAGGCTGAACTTAAAGGTATTCAATTTTACAAATTGGTCAAGCACTGGAGTAGGTTGCCTGACAATACTGCTGAAGCCATGACATGAGATGTGTCACAGTAGGTTGTCAGTGCAGAGGGGCAGGGAAGGGCTCTCAGCAGTTTCCCCTTGCATAAGGTTTACCTCACTGATGAAGATTTCTAAGGCAAATGGAGCATGCAAGCAGCCCAGGGATGACCTGTGTTGAGGCGTAATGGATTCTTAAGTGGTGAAGTGAGGCATGAGTTAGAGAGTATGGGAGGGACCAGATTACACAAACTCTAAAGTTTCAGACTCAGTTATATTTTGATGTAATTCTGATACTTGTGGATATCATCAGTCACATCTCTTTGATGAGACCAGCAACAATACAATATTATAGAATCACAAGGACAAGGTTAAAAAACACCACAGTATTTGTAGCAGTATTTATGTATGAAGTTGATCTTCATATATATACCAAGCGGTTATTTTATGGTATTCATCTTTTCAGGAGAAAAGCAGTAGGCTTTCTGGAAAGTGAGAAGTTTAAAATATTATACATTTGTGAAAAGGTCAGATTCCCCTTTGTGCATACTGTTAGGGTGTTACAGTTTCATTTCTTTTACTTGAAAGGGCTATCTGGAACTCTTTAGAGAGCGATGATTGATTGCAAAGGCAAACACAGAGAGATTTGTATCTGAGTTCATGAATAGTGGGGTTTTGAAACTCACAGATCTTGATTACAGAATTTGTTTCTGTGATAACAGAGTCATATTGTCACCTGAACTATTTATCATCTTTTAGGTTTCGTCATAGTCCAAATTGCTGGTACTTGAGAGACTGGACCATCCACAGCTGGATCAGACAGTGTTTGAAATATGGTGCTCAAGACAAAGCCTTATACACATTAAAAAACAAAGTAAGATTTACAAAGGAAAAGCCATGAATATGTTTGATCAGCTTTTTGAGACAAATGTGGCTTGACTGGAATTCCTGTTGCAGCCAGGTCCTGTACACTGTGGTTTTAAGTTCAGGTATTTCTTTGTCAAAATAAAAATTAATGTTGCATTTGAATTTTAGCTCTATCTCTTTACAGCTTTTAAAATCCTCTTCTTTCCCAGGAAGCTTTTTGGTTTTAAAGAGCATTGGTGTCCAAAACATGCTAAGTGCAGAAGAGACATAAAAAACATGACAGGCAATGCCATTCCTGGTCCCAAAGGCTTAGATAAAATGCCAAAACAAATGCAGTGCATCAAAAGCTGGAAGGTCTCTATCACAGGAGGCAGACTAATCTCCTTGTGTTGCTTGACTGTACATTGCAGCAGTGTGCAGTGCCATGGTTCTGGTCTTTCTGATACCTGTAGGGCTGTGCTTGGGAAGATTTGTACAGCACGTTTGCACACTGAGCTTTTTCATTCTTCTCTTTAGGTTCAGTATGGAATTTTTCCAGATAATTTTACATTCAATATTTTGTTGGATTATTTTATAAAGCAGAAGAAATATGAAGGTAAGAAAACATGTACCGATACTGAATCCTCTGTTGTATACTCTTATATTTGCAGAACCTTTCTTTGAATTAACAACTTTTAGCCGTATTTTTTCTGAAGTCACAGTAAAACGTGCCTTCTCCTTCCTTCAAACTATTTTTCTGCATTTTTTTCTCTCATTTCTGTTGGGTTTTTATTCATTATAGAATTTTGAAACATGTAAGATTCACAGTTTCTAATGTTATTAATCCTATTACAAATGTAAACCATCTTCTTCAGTTTTTACAAGTCTGATTTACGTGCTAATAATGTCACAGGAGTTATTAGTGACAATTAACTAGAATGTTATCAGAATCAAAATGCATATTGGTAGTGTTCATCTTCCATACGTTTAGCTGTTCAAAAAGCTACATATCTAAACTTGTCTAGGCTTTCTGTCTGTCACTGGAGCAAGCCAGCTATGCTGAATTGTCATGCTGGGGGTACATCTTACTACTGACTGTTTAAATGTTCAGATGAATAATCCTCTTGTGTTTGATGACATATTAAAGATTTTAATTTCATTTCAGGTCTTCTAGTACTGTAGACTTACAGTAAGCTTTCCTTTGCATAAAGCTCTTGTAAAACAAATAACTGAAAGGAACAACAGCTTTTATCCTGAAGGTTATGCTAAATGGCAAATTAATACATGTATTTATTTTATTTTGAGACACACCCCCATATTTGAATTCTCCCTTATTTCATCCATACTTCTTTTCTGTGTGAGACTCAAGGCCTTTTGTTTAACAAACTGTCCTTTCTGACAGGGAGTGTCACTGGAACTCCCTGCAGAGCTCCTTCAGAGCATTGTTTGCTGAATAGAGAAGACTGCTGTGGGTGATCTGTGATAACATTTCTGGTCCTTTGTACTCTCCTGTCACCCTAAGGGTAGTGAAGTTAAGCCAGTCTTCTCTTGTTTGTAATCAAAACACAAGAACAAAGAAATAATTTTAAAATATTTTTTTAAAGGTTAATAATTGAAGAGCTGAGCAAAGAAGGGCCAATTGAAGAGTGTAGAGCTAAGATGATTTTGAGAGCTCCTTTGCTGTAGTTTCATGCTATCAGCCCATTCTTCCTTCTTGCAGTGTGTTTGAATAACCCTAATGACTAAGACTAATTCTGTAGTTGTATTCTAGATGTAAGAAATGCTTAACTTTCTCCCTAATTATTTCAAAGCATACTACAGCAATAAAGCATGGGGGAACATAAGTGGGTACAAAAGGCAACTGTGTACTGGGAGCTGTGCTGATTATGTATTGTTTTCCTCCATAGATGCTATGTCAGTAGTAACGGAGATCATGCTCCAAGAAAGTTTTGATGAATTATCAACACAGCTTCTTTCTCTCTATGTTTTATACCAGTATCTGGCAACCAAGTCTGATCATGCGGTAAGCTGACCACACTCAAAATGATACACAAAGCCTCTACTTCTGAGTGTCATAATGCAGTCAGCTGGGCATTCAATCATGAATATATTTTATTTCCCCTAACTTTACCTGGAAAAAATAAATACTCTGTAGCTTTCATTTTTTTTACAATTGCAGAAGAAAGAAAGGAAAAAAAAAACCAACAAAGTGTGAAAGCCATCAAATCACTTGTCAGGCCTTTTGCTCCTTTCTCTGAAAGGGAAGGTGTGTTGGGATTTTCAGATGTAATGTATTTGAAGGATATGAAATGATAGTTCAAAGCAGACTCTTATCAATTACCACAAAAAAACTATGGTGCATATTGTATAGGACCCTGTTAAGCTGAATGTTGATGATGGTGCTGGTGTGGATTTATAGAGCATTTTCACTAGGTATTTTAGTATCCTATTTGGCTTTGGGTGTATTGTTTCTTATACATATTCGTTTTAAAACTAAATTTGTTACACCCCTCCTGTCTCCTAGGATGAGGGGTTTATTATTCACAGCTTGTTTGTTTAAGGTCAACATGACAGGTCAGGGTCTTGGAAGTGGCATTATTCTACCTTTGCACAAGGGGCTCAGTCAGCAAAGGGTTCTGCAGTGCCCATCACTTTTAGGGAGCTACTTTTCATGTAGTTTGGCACAAGCTTTCAATAGCATGTTGTCATGCATAAGGAAAATGCTTGAAGCCTCCATTTGTCTCACATGAAACATCATCCAAATACATATTACAGGTATCTTAAAGTTTTACCCAGCTGGGTTGTAATTTCAGTTTTCACCAAAGAAAAGAGATGCGCATTTGCCCTGTTGAATATTCTTCTTCATTACCCAGAAATCAAGTATGCTCAGTCACTTTTATATGAAAAGCGTAGGCATGAAAATCTCATTTTTTTAGTGTGTTTGTCCACACTGTTTGCATATCCTTACTGCAGAGACAACTGTTTATCAGTATGTGTAGGGTTTCATGAAAGCTGAATGTGCAAGCAAGAGTGGTGTGACCATACAATATGTTGAAGGCAAGCATATTGACATAGCTGTGACTTACTTAATATGCATTTTGAAATAACCCCATCCAAAGACAACAATGAAATCGTATTTTTATTTGTAGATGCTATTTAAAACATCATGATGCTCAGCACCAATTTTCTGTGTTTGATTTAGGAAGTGGGGGCAGACAGAGTAAGGAGAAATGCTCAGCTGCTCCTGAAAATCCCATTTTTTTTTCCCAAGGTGCAAGACAGGTCAGCCAGTGCCCTGTTGCAGATAGGTCCTTGACTCTAGCTTGGGGTCCAGCAGCCTAATGAAATGTTTCCAACTTTGAGAACTAAATCTTGGGCAATCTGACTGTATTAGTTCTTAGTGTGTATAGCAGTGGTGATAGGGAGCTTCCATTTCTCTGTTGTTGTACACATCACTGAAAGCTGGACTGGTCTTGGCTCTCCCCATAAAGTTTCCTCCTTGAGAGCTGCAAATAATCAGTATGATTGCTGCCTTCTACTACAAAGCAGTCCCGCTAGCTCCCAAAAGAACCTAGGCTGGTAACAGCCCTGTTTTTCTGGTTGTATCTGATTTTCTTATAACATTCACCTGGAGTGTTGAATTCAGCGCAAAGCAGCCCTGTTCCCTTGTATGCTTTTTCTGAGTTGGGCAAATACCTTGCCTGGCTGTCAGGTGCTGGTATTTTGTGTCAGAGAATAACATGCAAATTTTTGTAGCACCTGAGTGGAGACACAAGAAAATGCCGTACCTTGAAAAGAGAACTCTAGTAAAACCAGAAGATCGAAACTTTTGTGTTTTTTAAGGCTCAGTGCGCTTCAAGGATTTTTTCAGAAAGCTGCTTCGCCAGGGGTATTTCTTTCAGTTCATAAGGTAATCAACAAGACATTGAAGTACCCTGTCACAAAAACCATGTGTTAAGATAGTCAGACTTCCTCCAGTCTGTTGCCTTTTATAGCTTCCTTTTCCTCATTTTCTTAACCATGGGAGTTGTTCACCTCCTTGCACTTGCAATAAAGCTCTTTTTACTTGCTTCTCTGGTCATGAAAAATGCACTGTGCTGTGGAACAACCTAAATAAAATTTACACTACTCTTGTGGTTTTAACATACTTACTGATAGGGCACCCTTCTTTAGCCATCACTGGTGGTCTGGCTCAGACAGCTGGTACGTCTTTGTAGCTGGAGAGACAGCTGTACTTTTAATCCTGTGGCATGGAGGGGTCTTGGTGAGTCGCACATGCTCTTTTCACAGAGCAGATTTTGCACTCAAAGCAGCCATTAGCTGCATATGCTTCCCTCAGCATTTTCATATTCTAGTGAGGGGTAGTGGAGTGTATATCTTGCCACATACTTTAAAGAAAAGGCTGCTGTAATACAGAAGCCATGTAATAGTTTTCTTCAGCAGTGCTAGCCTGAAGCAAGTGGTAGGACATACAGGACAGAGACAGAGCTTGGCCAGTGTAAAGCAGTGTAATCCATTGTCCTGAAGAAAATGCACTGATTGACTTCCATGCAAAATTTCAACCACTGACATTTTACAGTCTTCTGGGAACAGAGGTATTCCTCTGTGTAATGTGTACTACTCCTATAACTGAACACTGGACATGTTTAACAATTCTTTACTTTATTGCTAAGACATCTGATGAAAGCCACATGCTGTCTTTGCTGCCATTTTTTGTGTGTTTGTTTAGGAATGCTTACTTAGTTTACATTATTTGCAGTGGGAAGAGGAGAGAAATCTTGGAGCATCACTAGTGCTTGCAAGTCTAAAGCAAAATAGCACTGTGGGTTTCAGCTCCCAGCTGTATGGCTATGCATTCCTTGGTAAGTTTCACCTCCCTTAATCATCTTTTCCCTGGTGTCTTCAGAGGCTGAATAAAATTGCCATCTTTGCTTTACTAAAGTGTAATCAAAGAGAACACAAAGGAAAAAAAAAAGAAATAATGGAAGGACAGTTTCAAGAGTCATGAGTGAATCTTTTGTAAGCCTGGAGGGTAGTACTGACTTGAATAGTATGCCCTTCATCAGACAACTTCAGAACCGGCTTTGGGGTTCCCTGCAGGTTTGGATTGGCAGCTGAAAGAAAGAAAACATTCTTAAAGAACACAGGATTGGTTTCTTGGTCGACCAACAAATTTAAAGAAATACCCCAAAAGTACAGATTTCCATTACACAAATTTAAGGTTAAAAACAATAGACTCTTTTTCTAGTTATTAAGTGTCTTAAAACAATCTTTAAACCTTAGGAAGTCAGAGAGCACAGCCTGAAAATCACTGTGTTTAGAACATATACTACTCACTGTAAAGTTAATGTTTGGCTTGTGAACAGCAGATAATAGTGCCTTTATCCTGTATCTGTTAAGGAGTCTTCACTGCTAATGACTTACTATATTATTAAAGAGAAGTTAGATCAGAACATGTTCAGAATCGGAGGGAAGGGGAATGGGCAAGTAATTCTTGAATTTCCTTTAAACCTTTAGAGGAATATAATGCAGATAGGTTTTTTCTTCTCTACAAAATGATTGTTTACTAGAAAGAAATTAATTTATTTACAATTTATTGTGAATTGTTGTTCCATTACTGCATTATTGAGAATATAAGTGGATTTGTACTTTAAATGTGGCCTCGAAATATGATGTGTGGTGGCAGAGTGAGGGTGCTGACTCACATTTATCATTTCTGTAAAACAAAAAACAATTTTCAGTCAGAAAGGGCAGTAAATGTGAAAATTAATTTGAAAGCAGGATTTTCCATAGAGCTGTAGTTTGTAGTCCAGTGGAGACACTGATACAAATAGGGACTTTGCTGTCCAGCTGGCATTCATGTTGGAGAGTTTTTAATGTTGTATGGATTGGTTGAGTAGTGGCTGTATTTCACAAATGCACTTCACTCTTGTCTGTGAGCAGTAGTGCTTGTTTCATGACACTGACATTCAGTAGATCAAAAGCTATTTACTGTTATGTCACATATTCCAAAGTCTTGCCAACACTAATGGAACCGACCTCTCAGAGAGTGAAAGATGTCTGTGGGCACAGACTGGCCTCAAGCACCTTAGCTATTTTAGTTTAGCCATAGTCCATAGACTTTGTCTGTGCACTTATTACCTTGCTTCTCCTAAACTGTTCTCTTCCATGTAAAGAAGAGTAAGGTGCATTTCATAGTTTTAGGTCATTATAGCCAGAGTGCAAATTAGATTGAGAGCTTGGACACAACTCCTGTGAGCTGCACTTGGAGGGGTATTACTTATTACATCAACAGTGACAAAATCAAAGCCTTAGAGTGACAATTATTGTAAATTACATCAACTGCAATGTGATGTGCATTTTGTCTATTATGTAGGAGTTTCATGTTCTCTAGTAGTTACTGTCAGAAGAAAAACCACATTGTCAGTGGTGCAGTACATCACAGGTCCTGCTAAAGTCAATGAACACCTCAGTGCACACATTGTTCTAAATCAAGAACCAAAATTTCATTTTGGCAGGTCTCCCCTATTTTCTCTCTGGAAGCTCCAGCAGAAAGAGGGGTACTAAGTTGTATACTTAACCAGAGCATTTGCTGTAATCTGTGGGTAAAGCCTAAAGTCCACGGAGTTGAATCTAGAAAGTCAGATTTAATGCACATGTATTCCACAGTCAGTCCCTGAAAGCTAAGGAGACATTTATCTGCCATCTTCAGACATCCTTCTGAGAGCTGGTGTTCCAAAGCCAGACAACCAGAAAAGCTGGCCACTCTAGTCTGATTTCCATCTGGACAAAATTTCTAGGTGAGGCAGAATGGGGAGGAATCAGAAACAAGCACATAATAACCATGAAGTTGTGCAAAAAGAAGGTGCCTTAATAAAATAAGATAGTAGTTCAATCAGAGCAACTTTATAGAAGTGTGTTGTTTTTACGACAGAAGCTAGGACACTTGCTGTCACTTCTGAAAACCAGAGCCAACCTATATGGATTCTGTTAAGACTCAGGTATTGAAGTAGTAACACTAAAGTATGTTTTTATCACAGGAAAAGTGGAATTGAATAAGGGACTAAGAGCTGTATACAATCTAATGCCACTGATGTGGACACCTGGATATTTGAATAGAGCCTTGCAAGTGATGGAGATTGTGGCTTCATTGTCAGGAGACAGTAAAATCTGCAAAGAAGCTGTAAGTATGAAGGCAATAACCCACTGAACAAATGGAATTTTATATAAGTCAAATCCAGTAAAACCTGTGAATTCTGTGCCTTGCTAATGAGAATATGCCTGGCAAACTTCAGAGGCCTTTGCAAGACAGAAGTAATGTTTAGAACAAAATCACTGCTTCTACTGGCATGTCCTTGGCAATGAGTGTGTATTGTTGCCACAGACCATTTAAGTATGTTTTCTAAGCCTTTCCCTCCCTATAGAGACATGTGGATCTGTGTCGCAGGGAGCACATGTCTGTGGGGGTGGGGAAACACCTTTGTTTCTCAAGTTTTTGAACTCGCTCAGAGACATACTTCTTAGCAGTGAGGATGAAATACCACATATTCTTACTCTCACAGCTATGCCCTCTGAGATGATGTCCTGAGTGGTACTGGTCCAAAATGTCAACAGAGTGATTTCTAGAAGGTATTGACCTCATCTGGGGAGAGTGGATAGATTCAGTTCATTTATGAAGTCAGCAGTGACTAAGGGACTTGAGGCTTAGGAATTTTGTGGGGCATCAGACTGATCCTGGACTCAGATTAGGAGTAACTTAAGAAACCACCACAACATGTGCTGAAACATTGCTGAGGTCTCACCTCCTCTTTTAGGTACTTTTTCCTGAAGGTGTCCCTGGTCATGGGAGCCTCCCTTTTGCTCACGTAATTACTAGGCTTGCAGTCTTTCTTGAAACAGAAGGGCAGGGCACTGCTCAGCAGGTTCTGCTGTCTGTTGCTCCATTTTCTGAAGCATCTCTGTAATACATGACAGTACAAGGACAGGTCACATCTGCAACTTCTACCATTTTGAGTTACCTCTTTTGGTGTATGGTTTTGGAGGTATCTTTCTTGCTCCAATCTAAAGAACTCAGCCTAATACACTAAAGCAGTCATATTTTCTGCTTACAAACCCTAGACAAATTGAGGAACTCATGAAGTTGTTGAATACATGACAGTTGTGTTACTCAGATTGTATTTCCAAACTGTTTATGCTTACCGTGACAAATGTGATTGTTCAGATTGATGCCCTGGAGACCATTTTACAGTCTGTCCTTGAAGCCAAACCTGGTCCAGATTCTGCTGAAGAAGTCAAGGGATTAGAGCAGAAGTCACAGAGTGCAGAATCAGAAGAAACAGAGCAATCTAAAGCACCTGAGTACTACAGTCGATTCAAAGTAAGAGAGTTTCATTTATTTAAATATCCTAAGCTGTAGTATATCTCTGTGATACATACTAGAAAATATATATGCTGACTTACTGTGGCTAATAGACTGACACCCCTTCAGTGTCAGTCTAGTAGGAGTCCCACTTGACGTTTTTGAAACTGATGTCACCTTACGTTTTCACTTGTTCAATCAGGAAGCAGCAAAGATGTAAATGCTCAAGGCCACTTGTCTTTTGTCTGTCTGCTGGGATTTTATCTTCACTTTTCATACATCAAGATGATAAATCCAGTCCTGTTCGCATAAGTGTTATGTCATTAGAGACCCATTATTTGACCTTGTGTGGGCTCTTGCTCATTAAAATTAATTATAATAGGCATGAGACCATCCTGAATTTATTGTCCATTTGTGTACACTACAATTATTTAGAAATGTTGCATCCTGTACTTTCAGTCTGGGGAATTAAGTCAGTTTTTATCACCTCTCTTTTATCTTTAGATTGTCATGCTGATGATAACAGTAAGAAAAACAGCTATTTGTTACAGCGCATCTGTATAACAAGTGCATTTTATGTGATCATCTCATAGCTATATAATGAGCTCATTATATTTTATCATCTCTGATTTGTGCTGTGGTAAAAAGCAAATACACTAGGTTGAAACTCATCTGATTTATAGTTCCAGGAGCAGTACTCATCTCATAGCCCATCAGTTTCCCTTGCTGCTGTCACCTGGACGGCTGTGACCTTGCACAGTTGTTCTGGATACAGACTGTTCTGAAGAAATTTCAGAAGTTAAAAGACAAGTATCCTATGGTTTCACTTCACACACACAGACTTTTCCTTTCTTTAATTTTTATTTACACAACTTTGCCACTAATCTTTAGATATTAAACTTGCTTTGTAGGCAGTTAGAACTTTTTAATTAAAGTATTTGGAAATCAGTGAGTGTTCAGCATGTGGTAATTAATGCCTGGATGAATTGCAGTGAATTAGGTAAACACAAGTGCCCTTTGAAAGAGGGAGTGAGACATTTTTATGTGTCTCTCATTGCCTATCCATTGTCTAGCCTTGAAGAAAATAATGCAGAGTGCTCGAAACAAGGCCTAAATATCAAATTGGGGACAGGCAATTGGGGACAGAGGGTAGTTTTATTCTCACCTCAACCTTTCCACAAGTTCCATAATTAATCCCCTTTCAGGCATTCATTGGTGTGGCAGTGAGTGCCCTGACTTTGGGCCAAAAAATTACAGACCCATTGCTTAACTCCTAAGGTCTCACCAGGAAGGTCTGCAAATGAGAAAGACATAGCCCTCATGTGGAATCTAGGCATCCAACAGTAATTATATGTCCATAAGCCACACTTTCAGGTTTTCTGAATGAGAAAAGGGGCTCTCAAGTCAGAATGCCATTTCAGCCAAGCCTGAAAGAGTTCTGAGACTCTCCTCTCAAATCCATCAGGACAGCAGTAGTCACTCTTCCCAGCTTAATCCTGGACACTTACAGGTGTCATTCACAGGGTAGACTAGTGCACTAGAAATCCATACAAGTGTGAGGGAAGGTGGCAGCTCTGAAGCAACCTGGTGCTGTGTGCATTCACAGCTGCTGTCCCGGGACAGATCACCTGCTCTTCTGTGTAACCCCAGCAAAGGATTTGAACTTCTGCTGCTGAAAACAATTCAGTTGCACTTTGTTCAGCCCTGCATTAGCCAGCATATCCCAGTCTTTCTCCTTGAACTCAAAACCAGTTGCTTCTGCCTCTTGCATGCCCAGTTCTCTTTCACAAATCATACACCTCAGAATACAAGGAAAAGCATATGGATTTGCTCCAGACACACACGTATTCCTCCATTATATTCCATGGAATGGACTCAGTGTCACATACCAACCTTCAGAACATTTGTGGAAGTACCTGAAAAAGCCATGGCAGCCTAACAGATACGGATACATGTCCTTCACTTCCACGGAAACAAACAGAACTTGAGGGCATTTGGCTCTTTCAAGATAAAGCCTTTAGAGCTGTAATCTAGACACTGACACTGTCATTTGTGTTGTAATTACCCATTTTTGGATCCCGTATGCTGAGACTACTCAGTACAATGCTCCTCAGGCAATTCCTTCCATCTGTGAATGATCAGTGGGCAAACATTTCATCACATAAATGCTGGGAACACCTCCCCTAACTGTCTGCATGCAGAGCCCTGGAGACTGCTTATGAAAATCAATGATTTAGCCATTTAAGAATGTGCCCTTTTGGTACCTGCAGGACATACAGCCTTCTGCTTTCCTAAATTAGTTTTACTGATATATCACAGAAGAGCAGTGAATATTCCAGAAGTTCAGTGATACCAGTAATGGCTTAGGAGACAAGACCTGCTAGTTTCCAGGTTGCCTTTCTGTAGTTCAATTTCATACTGTTCAAGTTCAGTGCATAAAGCCCCTTTTCAGTACATCCTTGGTAGAGTCTAATAGTAAGAATCTGAAGGATGTAAACCAATTACATTTAAAATGTATATCTAGTCTGTAAACATGAGCATAATTGTCAAGTTCCTTCCCCAAACCCAAGCTGTACTGTCTCCTCACTTTTCTCCCTGATGCCTTGTATACTTACTTACTGATACCTCAAACAAAACAGAGACTAATACACCTGAATAAGTTTATTCAATTTGGTTTTAGTCCATTAGCTTTGAAGACATTGGCTTTGTTTTTATTCTTTATAATAAACTTAAAAACCCCTCAGACCTGCATGTCTAGCATTTTAAAGAGTCTTTAATCTGCTCTCTGTCCAGTTCAAACCTTCAGGGGCCTAATAAAACACAACAAAGCCTGCAGTTGTGCTGGCTAAGGGAGAGAGAACTGGAGAGGCCTCAGAAGGGATGTAGTAGTTTCCTCCCTAAGAACAAGGCAGAGCCTCCAGCCAGGAGCTGAGAAGAAGTGCCTTTGCAGATTATTGCCAGCATGGGCTCAGGTAAAAGGAACACTGTGGGCCAGCAGCACAGTGCATAGGCTTTCAGTTATAGCTGGAAGTCTGGATATCTGCATCGCTCTAGAACTGCCATTTTGTTTGGAGGTGAATGATTCCCACATCTTCTTTCCATTATCCTTCAGTGCAAAACAAGAAGTTTTATACAAATGAAAGAAGTATGGATGTACCTTTCTTTAGAACGCATGCTTACATAAAACATTTCTGCAATTGCTGGGCTCAGTAAAGTCTTTCATTTAAAAGAACAATCAGGAAAATATGTATAAGGAGTGAACAAGGGATACAGAATCTTCCAGTGCAATGTCATCTCCTCTTTGGTTGTGTGTCTGCACTTTTAAGGCAATTAATCAAAGTGTTAGTTAGCCAGAAACAGTATCACTGGATGATTCATCATCCTAAGTGAATTAACATATGCTGCATGAAATCTAGATAAGTAAAGCTTGAGAAAGAAAAACTGCAGTTTCTTACTGAGTTACTCTGCTCTTAGCTTCAGTGTAGAATATCCCTGAAAAAAATATCACTTAACAGTGTTGTGTAGTCTATGTAAGTGTAGTCACTGTTTGGATCACAGTAACTTAGGAAGAAGAACCATGGGAGTTACTTAGTATGCTGTTAAAACATTTGAAATTACATGTATCTGTTGAGAGGGATGCTGATGCAGGCAGTGTGGATCAAATTATCGGGCTGGTTTTGAGGTAAGACACAAAACCAAAGTGTTTAGATTATATTTGTTATGGTTGACTGGTCAGCTGATCTTTGTTAATATCAAATAAATGAACTTGGAAAAAGAAGACGTTTTCAGTGGTTAATGAAACTAAAAGTTCATTGGTTTAGTTTTGTTGTTCAAAAAATAATATTCTTGATAATAGCATTTCAAGAAATGGTACCAATTACCACAGTTCAAACACTTCGATGTGATAGTTACCAGGCCTGTATAGCCCAGATAATAATAATAATAATAATAATAATAATAATAATAATAATAATAATAATAATAATGCAAACAGTGATGTATCAGTTATAGGAGAGTGTTTTGTGGCTGATTATTTTGTGATTGACTGGCTCTTTCCTTCACACTCCCTACCAAATCTCTTGTTATGACAGGAGCTGTACTCCAAGCTGCATTCACTTGGCAAGGTTGAATCTGAAAGCCTGTTAACCCTGACCACCCAACTTGTCAAGGAAAAGCTGCCAGCATGTGAAGTGGAAGACATTGCCAAACATGAGCAGAAGCTAAAGGAGTGGGAAGAAGAACAAGTACTTCTCATTGAGAGAGAAAGAGAGCTCAGAGAAAAGGCTAAGCAGGAAATGGAAGCTAGGAAGCTGGCTAAAGCATCTGCTTAGTACTGGAACTAGGAATGCAGAGGTGTGCATTCCTCTGTGAACATAAGTGCTCACCATTTTTAATATTTCACTTCAATCATGCTGCATGCGTGACCATATTTGACTCCTGTATGCAAATTAAACATCCCATTTTGTCTGTTTCCCAAAATAAAACACATGTGGTTTAGAAATCTTCATCCTGTATATGATGTGTTTTCCTCTTAACATTAGCCAGGCAAGGGATGGGATAGAGACAACACAAAGAAACAAAGGCATAAGGAGTAGCTTGCTTGTGATGAAGGGTATAGAGAATGGAAGGAACAAAAGAAAAGGGAAAAATTTCAAACACAAGTTGTTTCAGTAGGGGTTTCTCACAGGAAAGAATGCCATTGCTACTCTGAACTTCGAACACTAAGAGGATTAACGTATATTGATTGCTTTTTTTTCTTTTTCCCAATCCATTTGGAAAATTCAGGCTATTATGCATGGAGCTGGAAGCCTAACTTTAGGCTGTTTTTAAAACTACTCTTGAAGAGTTTCAGCCTAGTGAGCTAGCACTTGTACAGCACTCAGATGTGGCCTTTCCTGTAAGGATGTTAAAAATTTCTGACTTTGCCAGTGCTGCTTTGCTCCATTTCTAAGGTCACTAGAGAAACATGCACAATCATCTTGGCACACACCAAGGAGCCTCATACTGCAGTGCAGTTTCCTTTTATATTCTGGGCACTGTTCATGAGGTTTTTGACCTAATTCCTTTCATGGTCCCATGCCCCATTCTTCAGATCCATAAAACAATGTAGCTATTCACAAGAGCACAAGGAAATGGCAAGGGAGGAAAGCATCATGTTGTGATGCATCAGCATCCATCCCTGCTTACATTCCCTGTCACCACTGAATCTCATAAGCTGCAGCCAGCAATTTTAAGGAGACCATGGCAGGACAAGGTCCTTTAAAACAGGGAGTCCTGAGCAATAGCCCTGCTGTAATTGCAGCTTGTTATGGCAAAAGGACTCGTCTCACTGTGCTTTATCAGAGGATCTAATAAGCATTTGCAGTTTTTATTGTGCATCTGTCTGGTTTTACAGTGATAAAACTCACTTCAGAAACTCATTGTAAATCCAGTGAGAACATGCTGCAAATCCATGAATTTGTTTTAAGTGTAGGAAAGTGTCACAGATACAGCACACACCAGATATCTTTCTTACTCTCAGCAAAAACACTCAGAGCCTGATTGCTTTTTCATGTCCAAGAACTTGGCAACTTGGCACTAAGGTCCTTCACCCCATCTTGTCAGCAGGTCCCATAGTTTCTCCCGTACTTCAGTAAGGGCGTGCTGTCTCCAACCAGGAAAGTGAGTGATTTAGTGGCTTGGCCAGCAGTGGAGCAACTTGAGAAAAGTCTCCTGAAATTTTTTTCCTCTTTCTTGGTCTAAATGCTTTCTGATTACTAGGAGAAGTTAGGGAACCTTAAGAGAGAGTAGAAGGCCAAACACACTCATAAGAATGATTTCCTTAAAGCTGGGTGGCTTTAAAGGAGTTGTCTCTCCTAGCTGAGCCACAGGAGAATGTAGTGTCCCTTCCCTGACCACATATTTCAGTTCTTCAGTGTTAGAACATGGGTTATAGCTCCAAAGGTTCACAATCACTCCTGCATCCAGATTCCTCTATGAGCTTCTCTCTACAGGCATCAGCTTTTGGGATATTCTCTACACCACCACAGTTTTAAGACCCTCCTTGTTGACATGGCCTCTAGCCACTGAAGTACCTGATCATGTTGCTTGTGAGACACCATTCTGGCTAGGCCAGAACAGACAGGGACATATTTCTCCTTGTTTCTCCATGGCCTCTGTTTCTTGGCAGCACAAGGAGCCTGTTTCTGGCCC